TTAATTTAATCGGGGTGAAGAATGTCCTTTTTAGATCCACTTCTCATTTCACTTTCTTCATTTGGTGAATGGAGAACGGAGAATGAATGAACATAATCACAAAAAAAAGAATGGACTTTCACAGTCTAACTAGTCGTAATTAAGCTAGACTTTTGTGTATGAATGTAGGAATATCATCTCTAGACCTTTCACGTGAACCCATGAAAGCTGGGACTCCAGGAAATATGAACATATGACTCGGCAATATGAACGGAAGAAGAAAACAGTAGCGAAGTGGAAAAACAGTTGAGTTTTTGAGGAATATTTCCGAATCTAAGGGAGATAGCGAAATTTTTGTTATAACCTTTTTTGTAGAGCCGATTGAGAGCTACAACAAATGCCATTACGAAAATTTCGCTATCTCCTTTAGATTCGAAAATATTCCTCAAAAACTCAACTGGGAGGTAAGTCGACTTGAACCGTTTTACCACTTCGCTACTGAATTCAAGAACGATCCTCCTTTCTTGAGATCATCATGAGATGAAAGATTATCAATGTCATTCCGGGTGAGTAGTTCTTGAGATAATCATAAAAAATTTTGCACCTGATGGAATACATTTTTGGTGAAATAATTCAATAGCGAAGTGGTAAAGCGGTTTTTCAAGAATGTCTCCGAATCTAAAGGAGATAACGAAATTTTCGTAATAACCTTTTTTCTAGAGCAATTTGAGTGCTACAAAAAAGGTCTTAACGAAAATTTAGCTATCTCCCTTAGATTCCGAGGTATTCGCTAAAAACTGGCGAATAGTCAAAATCGACTTGAACCGTTTTACCACTTCGCTACCGAATTGGTTAAGGAGAGAGAATCCAAGTGTGTAACGTATTTCTTAGCTGTCCTTAGGGGGTGTTGACTCCAAGATCTACGGCCATGGTAATTTTTACTATTTAATTCTCTCCGTGTGGAAACATCCAGAACTGAACAGATTCCTGAAAAATTCAATTATGAACGTGTTTACATACACCCACAACATAGTAATTTTACTTTCTCCAGACATCAGCTTATCTGCTCAAGTAATCCCCGACGTGATCCTCGTCGACAGTGTTTATACCCGTGACAAAAGGCCCCTCAACCTTTCATTCAACATTTTGGCTATTGTAACGACCCACTTCCGCTAAACATTATACCGACACGTCCACACAATGCCATCAGCGTGTCCCATTCTTTATTTTCCACCGCTTGTGACACCGATGATCGAGTCGCTCGAGAGCATTCAGAAAATTGATATGTGTCCTAAATTGCCGATAATGGCCTCTCAAATGGAACTGCTCCAGGGAAAATATAATCTAATGGCCTAATGATACGAATCACGAGGCGGAATTTATCAAAATTGTCCACGTTCCCGAGAAAGATGTCTTCAATTTTTGTACGAAATAAAATGAGCAATAAAATGTAAGAAAAATGCATGAAGGACTCAATTTACTTTCTCATCATATTTTTCCCATCCGTGTCCATTTTATTCCTCGAGCGATGAATTTCATTTTATCACCTCCCGTAACACTTTCCACATTTGGTTTTCCTTTCATTCGGAAGAGGGTAATCGATTCACGATGAAGACGAATTTTATTATCAACCGGTTTCGGTATTCCAATGTCTTACAGAACACGGCTCAACCGGAAATCTCACGGAGAAAGTCAAAGGACGCGACCGCGTGCGCAATTAGTTCCTCTTCCCCCCAAAGGCGTCTTGCGAAGAGGTATTGAATTGTGCAGGTGGATAAATTAAGTCGGAAATATACGAATAAAGAATGGTGGTTTTTTTTTCTTTGAATTTTAATTTGCTATGAACTTTCCATTGTAGAGATGAGTACAGGCTAGTCTGACGACGTGTAGCTTCATGTGATAGAATTGATTATCATTAAATTTTTTTCTGCAATTTTCGAAAGTGAAAATATCTAACGGCATCATTGTGTTTCTAACTATTCCAGTAAGTAGACGATTCTTGGTAATGTCGTACGTTGTTTTACGAAGCAAATATCCAATTCATCAGTAAAAATATATTGACAATGTTATGACGAAAGTGTTTTCTTTCATCTTTTCATCCGAAATTACATTATAAATAGGAATTTGTTATTACATATAATTATTCACGAGTATTCTTGCGATTCACTACTGAATTCAATCTCAGAACCAATTGAATATAACATCAACCACGAAGAAATATCTAACATCATAATTCAATTCAATCCATAAACCTTGCTCTCGTCTCCTTGCATCATCAATTCCAATTTTCCTCCCCTCAATCCCAAAATAAATGAACAAATTGTGTAAGCTGCATTATTCCATCTCCGCCTGATGCTCCTCACATACACAATTAATAAAATCATAACGTAATCACATTATTCTCATTACGAAACAAATCGTCATAGGTATTTTCACAACAGTAACAAACAAAAAAATATGATGAATGTTTGAGATAAACGAGGAATAAGAAAATGTGAGTCATAACAATCTAAGGAGGAAGGAGAGCTAGTGAAAAATTTCGACTTCCGTTTTATTAAAAACGTGCGAAGAAAAAAAGATGAGCAACTTTAGAATACACGTCGTGGGACATTGAAACTCCCACAGGCGGTAGACGCGCAATTATGCCGCGTTATGAGACCACATTTAGCTCGCATTCTATTACATTCTCTCTTACTCCTACCCACCTGCAGGCCTCACCGAGTGATGCACCGTGTAATTGTTACATCGTGTGCTCTCATTCGTGTAACAGTTGTTTTACTGGATTTTGATGATTTTTTGCACTCGATGGAGTACTAGTTACTTCACACGTACGCTTTTCGGTCATGAGTGAATGAGTTGAGGAGTTTAATTTATGAAGTTTAATGAGCACTTGACATTTAACTACGGACGATGATGGAGTTATGGGGATAACACGCGGGAAAAAATTTAATTGAAAAACCTAGCGATTTCGCTAGGCGATTCTAGTGAACTTTTCTGTTAGTTTTTGGCCGATTCTGTGGAAATGTTCAATAGAAAATATTTTGTAGAAAAAGTCAGTAAAATGCGATTTTTCTGGACAATTAATTCTACTGAGATATCATTTATAGAATTTCTTCGGCTCAATTTTTTGAGTTTCATTCATTCTATTTTTCGTTTTTTTCATCGAGAAACTCTAACAAAAAAAATTAAAAAATTTGACTCGAAGAAATGTTATTGAAAATATCTGAATACAATAAGTTGAATAGAACAGTCGAATTCTATTGACTTTTTCTATAGAAACATTTCAATAGAATCGGCCAAAAACTAACAGAAAGTTCAATAGAAATCCGATAGAATTGTCTAGCGAATTCACTAGGTTTTTCCATAAATTTTTTTCGCGCGTGTAATTATTGAAATATTCTGGTGATCGCAATTAATAGCTTAGGTTTCACTCGCAGAACAAAACAGGATTAGTGAGATAAAAAAAACCATGACTATTTGATTTTCAATATTTTGTTAAACTTTGAATTATTCCAGTTTTAAATTATAGCACTGAGATGATACGAAAAAAAAACTATTATTGGAAGCACATTTCTAATTTATTAGGAAAAATAACTATATTATATGCAATGCAACAGCAATTCTCCACTTGTTTTAATCGTAACGAATTAGAACAATATTTAGTCCCGTCTTCGTCTCCAGTATAACCACCCGATTGTTGAAAATCACTCATTCATTCACTCCTCATTCATTCTATTCAATTGAAGCCCTTCTCCATCGAATTTACAGTCGCTGAAGCGAGGATGAGTCTCACCTTGATATTGGCTCATAATGAAGATATTTCGTGGATTGGAAAACACTTTCAGTGTCAGAGGTGTCATCAACAATAACAATTCCATCCGCTGATCGTCACGGAAGACACTTAGCCCTCATTCTTATGAATATGCATAATATAATAGAGTGATTCGTCCGCATTGAAACAATTCATCGAGTTATCATCGTATAATAATGATCCTTGAATGTATGACCTTTCCGATCGATCGGTGAAGTCAGCGGATTCTCGTCTGTGCTACATTCAAATGCCATTCGTTCTTCTATTATATCGATACGTTAATCAAGGAGTCGTATTAGTTGACGGAGTTTGATAACGAGGAGGAATTATGTTTTAACGCGGGATTAGGAGTGACTGGGGCAAAATGGGACCCCCCTGTTTTTTTGTTTTTCAATGAGACCAATGAGTCCACAATTTTTTTTTATGTAACGTCTTTTAGAAAATCAGATAAGTAGGAAAATACGTTTTCGAAGAAAAAAAAAGAACTTCTATCTAAGGCAATTTCTAATCGCAGTTATGAGCCATATTCTAGCTTTTACGGGAATGAGAAAATTTGTTGTCTCGTCCAGATATTTCATCTTATAGTTGTGAATTTTTGTAAGTTCGTCATAATTCGATTTTTTTTGTACAGTTGAAAATTTTTTACCTGTCAATTTCCGATACATTTTCAGGGAAATTTTATCACATTTTAGTTTCACTACAATTTCAAGGAATTTGGTCATTAAGTAAGCTGAGGGTTAAGTCGACTTAAATCGCTGCACCGCTTTGCTACTGATTTTCATACATATTTAGTGAAGAATAAAGTCGGGGAAGTCCCGGTGAAGTTGGCGCATCTCTCACCACTCCAGAATGTCACTAGCGCCATCGAGTGAACACTTTTTGAATTGCGTTCGTAGGAAACTGCTTTATCGAGGGAAGAAATTTGTAGTCTGATTTGATTTTTAATTTTTCATTGAAATATAAAATTCGGAGAAATACACTGTTGCCGCATTTTGTCTTCCTTTTTCTTTGTCCTATCTGCTTTGATCTATTGAAGGGTGCCTTTGTTCCATTCATTTCGTGGCTGGTACAGCTAGTATGAGGGTGTGATTCTCCCAGTCATTTCTTCTATTCATCGATCAAATTTATCAATAAATCGATAATGAGTGGCTGTGAGATTCCAGCGGAATGCCTCAATGATCCACAATTCATGAATCATTTCGTGGCTACGATGTGCAGTGAAATTGTGAAAAAGGAGAAGATAGTCGCAGGTGAGGATCAACTGAATTCACATATTTTATTCCATCATTCCATGAAAATTGTCTTATCCAAAACTTTCATGTGAATTTAATCAATTTTTCTTCGAAGATGGCATCGTCACCATAAACAAAATTAAACAGAATATCGAGAAGGGTAAGGAGGAGAGACAAATGCTGAAGGAGATGATTGAGGCTAAGAAAATGAGGATAGCTCTTCTGAAACCCACATTAGAGAAGTAAAAGTGTCAATTGATTATTCGTTTTCCTGCCTCAGAAATTGTTAACTTCCAATGTTCGATTGAATATTCCGCAGTTTGACTCTACGTGAGGCTCAATTGACAATGACTTTGGCTCTGGTCACAGCAAAGCTCGATGACAAATCGTTGAGGGCGAAGGCGGACATTGAGCAGTTCAAGAAAATCGTGCAATTGTATAAAACGACATGTGAAAAACGTCGGGTAAATTATTTCATTTTTATGCTCCGATAATTTCCCAATAAATTAATGAAACGATTGATGAATTACTGAACTACACTGTCTCAAACAAGTCTTACTTGTGCCAAAATAAATAGTTTGTTAAAAATGATCAAAATACGATTTTTTGGGCCAAGCATACGAATCGCTGTATCTCAAAAACTACTGGATCGATCGAGCTGAAATTTTGCCCAAATGTACTCCCAAACAATAACAATTATGAGCCAAAATTTAAGTTTTTTATCTATCACTTTAGTTCATTTTTGTAAAAATTGATTAAAAAATTTCCAGAATTTTTAACGCGCATCTCGACGTTTCAGGACATTCTAAGTCATTTCCAAACAGTTTCAAAGCAAAAATCAACATTAAATTTTCTTTGTCTTATGAGACGAACGTTTGATATTCACTTGTGTACGCAGGCTGAATATGAAGCAATGGTCCCTCTCGCTGCCAAAAGACACCAGGCGAAAATTGAGCTCCAGTTGGTGGAAGTCAAAGAGATGGTATTGGCTCAGAAGAAAGAGGAGCTCATAAAACTGAAGAGGAAGAAACGAGAGATTGACGAGAGACGAATGCAGGTGATGCTCGTGGAGGTGCTGACCATCGCCAACGAGAGGGCCACAATGCAACATAAATTGAAGGCAATGGACGAAGAGCATGCAAAGCTTCTGGAGGAATTGCAAGCATTGAAGCTACAAGTGAGTACCAGAATGCACGTACGAAAAGTTTTCGTAGAAAAATCTAGCGGATTCGCTATAAAATTCTATTGGATTTCCATTGGAGATTTCAAATATTTTATCAATTAGAATTGTATCAATAAAAATTACTCAGCCTAAATTGTCTAAGTTACGTTGATTGATTCTTTTAATAAGAAGAGAAAAAATGGAATGGCTAATTTAGGAGATATTGAAGTTTGAATCTCAATCTATTTTCTTGAATATCTCAAAAACTACTAAACTGATTTCAATATTTCTTTTTTCAAAATATTCGTCTCGATGTTTCGATCTATTTCAATCAATAATAATATGCATACCTGTTCATACAAAGTTTCTCAGATATTTCCATTTTTCGGTTTTCGCTGAATATCCTTGTTAGCACTCTCACTTTTGCAAAAATCTATTAGGGGTTTTCTTGCACAACTTACTGAGTCAGTAAGCTCGCTCACCATCATACGCTCGCTGTCCCCCGCTTGTTCTTTTCACTGAACTTCCAAAATTCATCCCAGTTTTCAATTTTTTTTTCTAAATCGCAAATTCTTCATTTTCATTGATCGACAATTATCATCTTCTCTATATTCCTCTCAGAAAGAGAGAATGGTGAAACAGAAAGAAGAGGAGGAGAGAGCGAGGCAGAGAGCCCGACAAATGATGCCACCGCCGAGATTGGACATGTCTGTACTGAGCACATTCTGTCGAAGCTCAACTACTGAACCACCAATCCTTCAAAGGGAATCAGTAATTGGCACTTCAACTGACTCAGTTGACTCAGGTATAAATTATGCAATTTAAATTGGTTCGATAAGTTCATTCATAAACAATAATGAACAATAATTTGCAGTAGTTTAAGAATACCAGTGTACATTGGCCCTAGAGAAAGAATTATTCGCTGTGTTTTATATTTAATTTTTTCACGAGTGTATTGGCCTGTTCACCCTACCTCCCAGAACATTTAGAGTCATCATTGTTCTTTATTGTGATGGATCATAATTAATTATCACTGATTGATTTTGTCTAGATAATCAGTCAATAAATACAGCGATACTCGAGAGAATGTGTAGGGATGAAGACCAACTGATGGACGTATGCGAAGAGGATGACAATGAGCTGATAATGCCCGACCCCCTAGCAAGGTCCATCTCAATGATTTACAGCAATCGAGGTCTTCAAGACCGCAAGAGTCAGGAAGATATCGGGGGAATTGAAGTATTGGAGAGGTCCTACAGTCAATTGTCCCTCGAGAAAGAGGACGATAATTTCGCTTCTAACAATTCTCCAATCGATTCCCCAATCAAACCTCCCATTGAAGTTCAGGTGATTGTTCAGCCTCCAAACGCGGAGGACTCCCCCGTTCACAAGTCTTCGTCGCTCCTCAAGGCTCAATCCGTCCAACGTAAGACTGAGGAAATAGTGGATAAGTCAGAAGGTGAACCAGAAGAGAAAAAATCTAAAGTTGATAGCATTGACGAGAAGAAGCAGCAGAAGAAAAAATCAGCATTGGAGAATCGTGATAAACAGCCTCGTCAGCTCCCGACAATAAAATCCGTTGAGAAGATCACTCGACCTGTCGCTTTTGCAGCTAAACCCCTAGTTGCTGAAGTCACTCCTACGCTCTCAACTTTATTCTCCCCAACACACTATGCACCGAGTTGCTGTCCGAGTATTGACGATTCAGATGTTGAGATTGATACTAATCTTGATGATACCCCAGGTAAAGGTTTTTGGTTTTGAGATATTTGCACGATTTTTTTCAGAAGGAAAGAATTGGTGAAAAATGTCTCGTGACCCTGCACGAAAGAATTTTATTTACAAAATCCGGCGAATACGCTAGTCAATTTTATTGGATTTCTACTTTTGAGAAATTTTCCCGCTTTTCTGCGGATATTTTTTTCAGTACAAAGAATGTCTAATGGAAACTATCTTGTAGAAAAAAATCAGTAGAATTTGATTGTTCTGTGTGACGTTGTTTATTGAAACATCTTCTATATAGTTCTCGACATAAATTGTCCATGTTTTTTACTCAATTTTTATCTCCTCGCATTGACAAAGTCAAAGAGAAACATTTGAGCTGAGAAATTTCGATAGAAAATATTTCAATACAGAGGCTTTGTAATCGGTGATTTCGACAATGCTCTAATTTTCTCTAGAAATGACGTAGAAAGTCATGAAGTATCCATGTATCCATGCATTATCATTTCATTTCGCAGCTCTACCAAATCAATACTTCTCACCACCTCCAGCCCTCGAGTCCGGCGAGTCCTTCTTATCCGAAATCTCAATGTTCAGATCTGCCCCTATCAATGCCGATTTTAATCAACAGCAGCAATCCACAAATACAGGTAAATATTCCAAGAAGAAAACATTTGAGTAACGAAGCGGTAAATGGTTCAAGCAGATTTTGACTAGTGGCCAGTTTTCACTGAATATCTGGGAATCTAAGAGATAGCAAAATTTTTATTAAGACTATTTGAAGCGAAGCTAAATCTCCATAAATTCGTAGTCGAGTAACTCGGCCAACTCCGAACATCTCCGTGACCCTTCGGGTCAACGAACACGGGTCAGCGCGGCACCCGGAACAAAGAGTCAGTTGTGTATCAGACATGATTCAGTAAAGACCAAATCATCGCACTGTTCATGAGAAAAATTAAGAAATTCCTCGTACGTCAAAAATATTTTCGTAAACATGAAAATGTGATGAATAACTGATCTTCATTGTTTCAGCTTTTGCAGGCACTGGCTTCATGAATATGTTTCAACCACAATCGAAAGGTTTCTTCTAGAAAAAATCAAACCAGTTATTTCTTACAATTCCTCTGTTTATGTCCACTTTCCTCCTAGTTAGTTACCATTACATTTCTCGAAAGCCAGAGGGCATTATGAATTACTTATCACTATGAGTTTCTTAAGACAATTAATGAGTCAAGCGTTGTTACCGAACATAATTTACGTCGACGAAACCTATTTCATGTCAATTTACGGGTTTTTATTCATGTATTTAGTTTTTTTACGCTTTTCCTGTAATAGACCATGAGGCAGAAAAATGTATTACAATTAGTTTCTGCGCTTCGACGCAGTACAGTGATCGATTCGTAACGAAGTGGGTGAGAGCAGAGGATTACTTCAGAACAAATCTGCAAATCAGTTTATAGTCTTATGATTTTTTTTTCATTAATCCATCCATTACCAAAATAATTACACAATTGGTAAAGATTTAATATTCAATGATGATATTCTGAATCAATCAATGATGATGATACAATCTGTTCTTCGCTGAATTATTCTGAAATAAGTCAGAATAACAAAAATCGGGGTTTTCTTGCAGAAGATCTATGAAAAAAATTTCTCCTGACAGTTTTTTTTCCTCGTACGCTCCTTTTTTTAAATTAATTTCTGTTAGTTACCGAAGTATCTTCACAATGAGTCATTTTAGAAAATGATATCATAAGATCATTTGTCTAGAGAATTCCTAACTGAATAGTTTCCAAGATATTGGAAAAACGATTTATATGTAAATTCTTCGACTTTTACCACTTCACCACGAAAATCGATCGATCAATGACAGAAAAAAGATGTTTCCTAAAAAAAATTGAATAAAAATAGTCGATTTCTTCTCATTATTGTGAATAGTATCTTCCATATCCAAACCGTCCATTCCTCGTGTTGGATACAATCTGATTGCATCCAACGACTGCATCTCCCCTCGTTCCGTCGAGACAGGTACAGACAGCAATGTGACGACGTGCCTCACACCTGGCATTGGGTGCACACTCCTTTCCGGTGCAGGGATTTTGACAGAAGTAGTCAATGCATGCCTTATTGTCTGGGCATTCGCTGTCTGTCTGGCATTCACCTCTTCGGCAGCTTATGAGGGCATTCCCAGTGTATCCGGTGGGACATGTGCAGACTGGACGTTCTTTTCCGGTGTTATCATGACCAGGGGTGCAGATTGCGTGTTCTCCGCAGGGGTTCGGTTGACAAAGATCCTCTGGATATGAAGGAAAAATTGTTTTCAAATTTTTCAATTAAATTTTGTGAGAAAAATTGAGATGAATTCACGAATAATTAACGTTTTTTGAATGACCTTTTGCAGAATATTATTTTCTTTCAACGTTTTTTCCTATGAACTAATAATGTAAAATGTTCAAAGTTCCGAAAACCTCATTTTTCTTACACGAAATTGATTTTTGCTCAAATTTTCAATAAGGACAATTTTTTTGACGATTCCGAAGAAATTAATTTTAGGATGGAAAATTGATTGATGATGAATTATTGATTAGAGAGATCGTAGTCTTCAAAACTTATAATTTTTCTGCTATTTTATGGATCCTTTTTGTTCACTTTTTCCAAATATTTCTTAACAGTTTAAAATAGAGAATCAAAGGTGGACTATCAATCCTCAAATAATAAAATTATTGCAAAATGTTCCCTCAACCTAGGGCCAAATGGGAATTGAACGGAAATTCTGATTTTTAACTGGCAATATTGAAAAGAATATCAACAAAAAAAGTCAATGAATTAGAATTTTTTTGAAGTAGTGTAAACACAGCTAGATTTTAAGGATATCCAAGTCCTTTGGCTCTTTTTCTTCCAAAGAAACGCTTTTCTACTTTTGTAATCGTACGTCATAGCTTTCATTTGAACCGTTAGAAAATATTTTCAAAAACCTGAAAGAAAATCGGTAATTTCGCTGTTTTTACCTGGTGTGAATGGTCGGCAACTGATGAATGGGTTTCCAGTCATGTCCCTTGGACAACTGCAGACTGGGGTAATTCCTCGGAGCTCACAATTGGCGTTGGTTCCACAGGCACCGGTACAGGGATTTGCACACTTCTGGTACAGGCAGGCTGGCTTACTAGCGGGGCATTCAGAGTGACTTGTGCACTCTGGGTAGCATTTAGTGTAAGGATTACCTTGCCAGTTCTAAATCAAAACATTGCAATAAGATAAGCAACATCAATCAATATTTAAAAAGGAATACAATTTTAAGTGTTGGAATGCAATCCCAATTTTAAATATTTTGAAATTGCACGGGTGCTATCAAAAAATGCGCGGGTGCGAAATTTTATCCTGACGCATAATTAATTTTACCCTTCCAGCCCAATAATTGGTAAATTTTACCCTACTGGTATAGTAATTTTTACTCTACCGACACGGTAATTTTTATTTTTATCACGATAAAATTTCTCTGATGTAGAATAAAATTTGACCACCACATATTAATTTTTACTAAATTTCGGGATAGAAAGAAGAAACGATGACTCATGATACACTTTTACAGAACGGTAGGATAATTTTTATCAAAAATTTCTCTCCGTGCAATCAACTTAAATAGTAACGTGAATCATATAAAATCCTCCAAATTGTCAGGCGCACGGAGCGCGCTTTCGGTCTCGTAGGATAAAAAAAGTGCTGAAAATCAAGTTCGCTCGACGATTACATGACTTGTTCGGTAATTTTTCTCCAACTTTCATCTCCGGGTGGAACTTGAAAATTCGACTCACTTCTGGACAAGAGCACTTGGGCTGATGATTGACGACATCACAATTAGCACCATCTCCACACTTGGAGCATGGGCTCTCACACCTAAAATTAGCGGAACACGCAAGGTGATTCGAGCACTCAGCATCGCTCTCGCACTCGTGACGACATCCGGCGAGTGGTGAGCCTCGGTATCCTGGCAGACACTTGCAGACGGCCACTTCATTGACCACATCGCAGCGTGTGTTGAGTCCACAGGGACTCGGTTGACAAGGGTCAGCAATTCGGCAGGAAGTGAATGGGTCACCGGTGAAGCCTCGAGCGCAGGAGCACGTGGCCACGTGATTGATCACCTCGCAGTCGGCGTTAGCCCCACAGAAACCGGGGCAGGGGTCCACACAGTGATTACCGGCACAGGATCTGGTGCTTGGACAGTCCTCGTCGACTGGAACCGAAAATCGGTTATCCGTTTATTCCTCCACGTATGAAAAAAAAAAATTACAAAGAAACCTTGCGCTTTCTTCAAGGAATTTCATTGAATTTCTAGTAGAACTCTACGAGGATTCTGTTGTGGTATTGATAGTGTATTGAATAAATTTATTGGCTTTTAGGCCAATTGTATTATATTTTTTCCGGAGGCATTTTTGGATATGAAAGAATCAATAGATTCTTATAAAATTCCATGATAAATTCAATAGGATATCTTAGTGAAAGTGCTAGTTTTTTATTCTACAGGTTTCTATCTATCCTTAAGGCTTTGTTTACTTACTTATGCACTCAACCTTGAAACAGTGCACGAGAGGATCACCCATGTGGAGGTTCAAACACGAACAGACGGGTCTGCCATCCGTCACTGTGCACTTTGCATTTTGACCACAAGTGTGTGAAGCACAGCCGGCTGAAAAAAAAATGACAGTTACATTTTCTGCAGAAGTGAGATGATTGATCTGTAGCGGATAGGTTGTGCAGCTGACATTGGACATTCATACCGAAGTAATGGATTTTTTCACAAACTTAATTGAACAAATTCATTGAAATCAAATGCGTAATTTCCACATACTTTTGGGTGTTCTGAATAGCCCGTCGCCTTAATTATTGGAATAAACGTTCACCCGGCTGAAAAATTCGATTTTGGCGAAAGTCGAGTTTCCCCGTGAGAAAATCCAAGATCTGACACTTTGGCCCCCGGTGAAAATTTTTTTTTCTCAGTTTTCACTTTTTCCACATACTTTTGGGTGTTCTGAATAGCCCGTCGCCTAAATTATTGGAATCAACGTTCACCCGGCTAAAAAATTCGATTTTGGCGAAAGTCGACTTTCCCCCTGGAAAAACGGAAAATCTGACCCTTTGAAAATCTGAAAAAAAACACTTTTTCAGTTTTCACTTTTTCCACACACTTTTGAGCATTCTGAATAGCGCGTCGCTTAAATAGTTGGAATCAACGTTCCCCCGGCTAAAAAATTCGATTTTGGCGAAAGTCGATTTTCCCCCTGGAAAAATCCAAGATCTGACACTTCGGGCCCCGGTGAAAAAAATTTTTTTTCAGTTTTCACTTTTTCCACATACTTTTGGGTGTTCTGAATAGCCCGTCGCCTAAATTATTGGAATCAACGTTCACCCGGCTAAAACATTCTCGGCCAGTCTTCTTTTACATTTTTTCAAACAATAGTTCATTTGTAAAGTATTGTCTGAAGAGCCTTGAGTGTTCCGTAATTAGACTGTCCACCCTATTTTATCTTCGCCTAATTTTCATTAATGAACTGGTATTTGTTTAAACCCGCGTGCTCTCCAATATTATTATTGTTTATAGTGATTCACACACCCCGGTATCACCAACGATGACCATGGAGATGAATGGGATTATATCTACCAACCACCAAAACAATTAATTGATAAATGCAATCGAGTTCTCCGATTTATGATGAATGAAACATGTTTTTTGTCTTCAGTTACCTGTAGAAAGCACTCGTCCATAATGATATCTATCCGCAAACACGGAAGTCGCTGATATCGCCGCCAATAAAACTATCGTTCGGTATAATCCCATGTTTGCTGCTCAGTGTTGAAAAACGGGGAAAACAATAGATTCAATCAACGAATTTCATTGAAAAATGCAAAGTTTCAATCACTCGAAAAATCTTCAATTATCATTTACCAATGATTTACCATTTACCAATGCCCAAAAACAATCGATCTTCACTCGCCGAACAGCAAGCAGAGACTGCCAACGTTCTGGAAGAATCTTAACGAAAATATACGCAAATATGTTGATGATAAATTCCCACCAGTGACCCACGCATGGCCATGACTCAATCCCCTGAAGAGGGGAAGACCTGGTGCCACCCACGTTCCATTTGTCTGCTTTTATCCTCGAGCCAGTTACACAGTGACTCCATCCAGGATCACGTAGGCAGGTGAACCTTAATTGGTTCTCCAACGTCACTTTGATCTCACTAACCGGTCGTACACTTGTACATTATTTTCCCTTCATTTCTTGGTATTCGTTAGAACACAATTACACTTGGAATATAAATACATGTGACAACGTTTTTGTTATGCGCATGTGAACTATTGCACAATTTTCTTGTACCTAAAATGGTAATGACGTCCTTGAATCCGATGACCTCGAAACAATGAGATTCAGGTGACTTTTCGATCGTGAATTTTTTTCTGGTCAATCGAATATCCGAACGGCAAATATACTCTTTCAATTGACAATTTTTGTTTATTGAATATCGAGTGAAAATTATTCAACCATTGATGAGTCATCGTTTTCTTTATTGCCGGAACTAAAATTAGACTGAAACGCGCGCCCACAATATCCATAACAGGTAAAACGGTGGACGATCGAATCGAAATCAGTAAAATTTACTCACATCACCAGCGTCGGTTCCTTCGGATATTAAACGTTGCCCTACTGTTGAAAAAAATTTTAATTTCATGGGAAGTTCAGTAGTAATTTTGTATTAAAAAAATTGGAACTAATAAAGAAAATCACGTGAATATCATGAGAAAGAAGAAAAACTATTCACTAGATTCGGTACATTTTGAATCCTCGCACGAGTATAAGAAAAAATTTTTATTCTCCCATAAACTTATCGTTAATCCTAAGATAAAAATTACGCGAATACCTGCGGCTTCGAATTGTTTTGTTCCGTCTTTTTTTTATTGACACGTTTTTCCAGTCGCACGAAGGAACAAGAATAAAATTTCGGAAATTCCTCACCCGAAAAGCCCAGGCTCTAGGCTCAGAATTATTATGGAGTTTTAGTACGGTTGATCTCACGAATTACCATTCCGAGTTGTTTACCTTCGCTCAATCAAATCCGTTTATTCAGTTGGCACGTGATGAGTAACCTCTCGCGTTTGATGAGAAAAAAAAAGAACTCATCCGAATTCCAGAAGGTACGCGAGTCATTGAAACGGAGACTAAAGCTACAATGCATAATTAAATAGTGCGATTGAAGTATTCGGTAATCATTAGTATTACTTGCTATCTCTGACGAATTTTGAAAATTTTTACACACGACCTTGACCTTCAGATCCCCATTTGCGAGAAAAAATTGACGGGTATAACCTCCCCTCCCCCCCACGCCTTAATTTCGGAAATGATTTTCTAACGGTGCAACAGTCCCAGGCTTTGCATGGACATATGCATTTTGCTTCCAAAAAATGACTAACTCCTTATTGAAATATCACTATCATTCGTTCTCGAGGCATTTCAGTTGTCAGTAGGGCATTGTAGCAACAGTGAGCACACCTTTTATTTACCCAAGAGTGTAAATCCGTTGTTATCTCTACTCACAAATAACCAAGTTTTATTATTACTAGAACATCAACAAAAGTTGCCAGGTGTGGTAGTAATATATTCAGTGATTCATGGTCAAAATAAAATGGTAAAAATACCCATGTCGAAATCTGCATGAGTAACGTTACTATGGCCATGGGAATGGCTACTATGGAACATCGTAATAGTTATTATGGGGCATGCTAAGCACCTTACTATGTAACATAGCAGAGTTGACTATATGTGGACGTCCGCATGAAAAGGGACCACTTTGTCGATATGGAGTTATGTATACTTTGCTAATATTTATAACGTTCCCCACATTTTGAGCCCAAAATGATCCTCATAGGGTGAAAAATGACGTCGCCGGAGCTGATGAAAAAAAACACTTTAACATGAGTGTAAATGGGAGTTGCTGAGACAAAAACGTGAATATCTCGGAAACTAGAATCGACAAAGTGGTCCTTTTCGTGCGGACGTCCACATATATGTAACAGCACAGCATACTATGTAGTGTAGTAGAGCTTACTATATTACATAGTAGAGAGTACGCCTGGCATGGCTCACTATAGCGTTTTACTCATATAGAAACAGTGAACTAATAGTTATTTTCGTCAACTGCCACATCAATTTTTCTGTAATTCCGATTTCTTGCAATTTTTTCTCCACATTCATATGTGAAATTTATTAGTTGGAGGAGGTGGATATGGCATTGTTCATGCATCCATCCGTGAATTAGTATCGGTCGCCACGTTTGGATCGAGCGATTCGCCTTCAGAACGAAGGTTCCGTGTTATGTGGGTGTTCTCTATTCCGCTCTCACATTCAACTATGGGCTGTTGAATTACATTGTTGAAGAGAGAGAATGTACGGAGAAAAAATATGGGAATTTTTCTCCATAACAAACACAAATTACGGTGCTGCACAGTAAAGTGAATTCAATCTTACAACACCGGAAAAAATCTAGTGCTAGCAACACGCACGAACAAATTCAATAGAAAAACCTATCGAATTGGTTAGAAAATTCTATTGAATTTCGATTAAACTTTCTACTAGTTTTTGGCGGATTCTAGTGACATGTTCAATAGAAAAAATTCAATAGGAAAAGTTAACAGAATTCGATTTTTCTATATAACTTATAAATTCCGTTCTCATAACTGAACGCAATTTCATAAATATGTAACTCGTAAAGGGGGACCAGCAGTAGTTCAAACATCAATCGAAACTGGAGCAATCGGTATTCCAGTTGAGTTGAATATTTATTCACAATGAACCTTCAAATTTTGGTTTATATTTGAAGCACTGAAGTATGTCTAACTTCACATGCTGCAGAGCAATGAAAAACATTCGCAGTAGTTATTAGGAAATTGGAAAATGAAAATTCAATTGATTGTTTCACTGCTAATTTTAATTTTACGTTCACCTTATGATTATGCGGAGTGCCAATGTCATGTCTAAAGTGAATATTTTCGAATTTTATCCCATGAGGGGCATAACCGCGAATGTGTACCCTAATGTCTTAGAGGATTTCGTTCAACATTTTAAGATAATATCTAATCAAAGAGGTTACATTATTTTTTCTTAACCAACTCTCGATTCAGCCATTTTAACCAGGTAGATTTGACTCCAACTTTGAGCCTAACTTTGATCAGCAGAGTATCCTGAGATGAGTCTGATCAGATTCGAATTTTATCACCCGATGTCAATTTGAGCAGGGCGTAACTAGAGAAATAATTTATGAGAGTATTTAGCGTTAATATTTTGACTACTGGGCAATTCAGTAAACAACCTTTCATAAATTCTATCGTAGGTAAATTCCTCTCCATAAACATTTCGTATATTCGAGTGGCCAAAACAAGTTATTTCGAATTTGGATCTAGTCAAATATCGATAAAGTCAAATATGGGTAACACATGTGAAGGGTCGGCATTTTGACATTGATTCGATGAACTCAAAAATGTTATCATTCTCAAACTTCATCGCCCTAATTCCACAAACATGCAAGTCTAACGTGATCTGCTCATCGTTCACGACGAAAAACTATTGTCCACCCTGACCGTGTGTTGGAGGTAGATCAGTTCAGGCGAAAATATAATTCAATATTTTGATTAAGATGGACCGATGCTTATTAACGACCTGTATGGCTTCTGAAATTATTATTTTTGACAAACTTTCGTTCTTTAGAAGCCAACGGAAATTATTCATTTATTCCATTAAACTTATTTTTAAACAGATATAATATTGGAGGACTTCCTAGCCGTTAAATATTGAACGAAAATCACTATTATATTCAAAGTTAACAGTGTCGAATGAAAATGTTCCACACAATTGCACAATATTGATTCTTCACTGTTTGTGAGTTTGAATTTCTGGCGGTGTTTCGTTAATAGTACGTTGTATATAACATAATAATCTACGTTTGTACCTTCAAACACGCCAAAAAAAGGGAAGAGGGGATGAGCCATGATTTCCACATAAAAATGCCCGAGAATCATTGTAGGTATCATTTTCAACTGGAAAATGAGAGTCTATACATTTCTCGCTGTCTTGGCAGCTATCTTCATCAGCCACGTAAGTGTTTCATTTTCAATTCGTTTTGGTTCCAAATTTTTTTTAACTTCCCGATGTATATCGAGTAGTTATTGCAATAGCCCCCAGTTATTCTGCACACATGTCATGAGAAAAATTATTATTTTGAAATTTTCTCTCCATTACTCAAGACATGATGATTGAAAATGGATAAAACCAAAATGATGATTTTTCTCAAAAAGTTGAATAACTTGATGGG